GTCCCTCAGGGCAGCGTCCTCTCTCCCACCCTATATATTATCTACACAAGTGACACCCCGCCTCCCACTAGAATAGATAACGAAGATATTTTGTATGCAGATGACATCACTCAAATAACAACTCATCAAGGAAAATCGCGAGTTTTACAGGTCGACATCACCAGGCAGGAATTAGAAAGGGTAAATAATTACGAAAAACAATGGAAAATCCAAACCAGTCTCCCGAAATTCACAGTGATACCCTTATGCAGAAGGAAAACCCATTCATTAGTAACCAATAATGCACAGATAGAATACAAAAGCAGAGGCACCCTCCTGGGCCTGCATATATCCACGACAGGTTACGCCCATCATGTCCACACCAGGAAGGAAAAGGCAAGAAGAGTGCTGAGAAAACTATACCGCTTTAAAGCACTTCCCGAGAAAATAAAACTCCGCCTAGTGACATCATTTATCATATCGATATTAACTTACCCAGCAGTACCTCTTCATACTATGAGCACCACTCAAATATTAAAATTACAGGTGGTCCAAAATGAAGCCCTAAGATTCGTCACAGGTGAAAGATACCCCTTCACTAGTACCACAGCCGAGATACATAGATACCTGAGAATAAAACCCATCAACCAGCAGCTGCACACCCTGGCCAGCAGAGTCTGGCAAAAGATATTACGACCAGAGCAAGAACTCCTTCAAAGACTCCCACCAGATAACGACAACAACCATACACGGTTCCCCCAAAATTACCAAATCTCAAAAGGTCCATTACCACCCCCGATCTATACGACCAGGCAATAGACAACCTCCCTAGACCAGCATCCGCCAGTAAGGTCGGTGGAATATGAAATAAGGCCCTCAAAACACCCATATATGGGATAGGGTAGGCTGTCTAGTGCCTGTGTCGACAGACAATAACCAACCCATGACACATCCCTAACACACCATTAGCTTTAGCTAGGCGGTCAGCCCGCCCTCTCTTACATCCTCCTAAATTTCTTCAATTTCCTAACTATAACTTCCTTTCACCCCTCCTTTCTCTACCCCCCTCCCAAAAAAGAGAGAACATACACAAGAACATAAGAAAATAAGGAGTCTACAATATGCCGGTTGGCCTGTGCATGGCAGCTCCTGTCGAGAGTTACTACCACTCTCTATCATCCATGAATCTATCCAGCCTCCTTTTGAAACTTTCCAGCGTTCCAGCACTTACTACAAAGTTGCTAAGCTTGTTCCACTCGTCCACCACCCTATTTGTGAACCAGTTCCTTCCTATCTCCCTCCTAAACCTAAACTTATCCAACTTAAATCCGTTGCTACGAGTCCTATCCTGCTCGGATATTATAAGAACTTTATCTATATCCCCTTTATTGATTCCTTTCACCCACTTAAATACTTCTATCACATCTCCCCGCACTCTTCGTCTTTCTAGGGAATGCAAGTTTAGTTTCTTTAACCTATCTTGATATGGTAGGTTTCTAAGTCCCGGAATCATTTTCGTCATTCTTCGCTGCACCGACTCCAGTGAATTGATATCCATTCTATAATAAGGGCACCAGAACTGAACCGCATAATCGAAATCGGCCTGACTGGCGCAATATATAGTTGCAATAAGACCTCTGCACTCTTATTACTTACACTTCTAGATATAAAACTTAATACTCTGTTTGCCTTATTTCGAACATTAACGCACTGTTTTCTAGGCCGTAGGTCCGGGCTTACAAGTACCCCTAATTCTCTTTCACAAGTCGACTTCTCTAGGTTGATGTTGTTAAGGCTGTATACATTGGCAGTATGTGTTCTTCCAATATTAAGTACGCTGCACTTGCTGGTGTTGAATTTCATTTGCCATTTTTCTGACCACTCCTGCAGTTTATTTAAATCCTCCTGTAGTGCATTTGCTTCCTGCCCTGAATTAATCTGCCACCCTATTTTGGTGTCATCTGCAAACTTGCTTATGTCACTGCTGATCCCAGTATCTAGATCGTTTATGTAGATTATGAACAAGAGTGGGCCTAGTACTGACCCCTGGGGAACCCCACTGGTTACACAACCCCACTCAGATTTAACACCATCTACGCTGACCCTCTGCGTTCTATTGGTGAGCCATGATTTTATCCAATTTAAAACTTTCCCCTCGATACCATGAGCCTTAACTGTTCTCAGAAGCCTCTGATGCAGTACTCTGTCAAATGCTTTGCTATAGTCTAAGTAAATATCATCGTAATTTTCGTCATTATCTACTACCTCGAAGACTTTCCTAAAAAACGTCAGCAGATTTGTTAGACAAGATTTTCCCTTTGTAAACCCATGTTGAGAGTCGTAGATTAATTTGTTTTTCTCTAAATGCGATCGGATGCTATTTGCTATAATTGATTCAAGAAATTTCCCCACTACTGACGTCAAACTCATCGGCCGGTAATTTGACGCTGATGCTCTGTCTCCATTTTTGAATATGGGCACTACCTTTGCCTGTTTCCACAAGTCTGGCACAACTCCCGTGTCTAATGATTTTGTAAATAATTTTACGAGGGGTCCACTAATCTGTTCCCTACACTCTTTCAAGATTCGAGGGATAATTTCATCCGGCCTTGGGAATTTTGTCTTCTTTAATTTATTTATCCTCTTAAGAACATCCTCTTTTCTGATAGTGATATTCTTTAATTTCTCTTCTTCCTTTCCCCTAAAAATCAGTTCCACCTCTGGAATTTCCTCGTGAATTTCTTCTGTGAAAACTGATAAAATGTAGCTGTTCAATGCTTTGCTTATTTCTTCACTGCCATTGATCACGTCCCCCCTCCCTGACTTTAAAGGCCTAACTTTGTCCTTGACCTTTGTTTTATATACCTTGAAAAATCCCTTGGGATTCGCCTTGGATTCTCTTGCTATTCTGATGTCATAGTCTCTCTTTGCTTTCCTTACATTTTTCTTAACATTCCTAGATAGTTCATCATACCTATTTCTGAGCTGCTCCTCCCCTCCCTTTAATTTCTTATAAATTCCTTTCTTTATTCCTATGTCATGTTTAAGTTTTCTGGTCATCCACCTTGGCTCATTCTTATTTGACCTAATTTTTCTGTATGGTATATTTTGTTCTTGTGCTTTACGTAGTATACTAGTGAATATATTATAGTCATGATCAATTGTTGTGTCATCTGTGACTTCACCCTTTCCTACTGGGGACTGACCTGACTGTTCCCAGGTGACCTCACCTAGGTACCTTCTTAACCCCTGATAATCTGCCAGCCAAAAGTTTGGGACTCTAACCATACTGTCATTGCTTTTCGTTTCCCAATTTAAGGTGAACCTGATTTCTCTGTGATCACTGTTACCTAATTCTTCCCCTACTGTGATATCTCTGATAATGTTTTCTTTATTTGTTAATACTAGGTTTAATATATTGTCACCTCTAGTAGGTTCTGAAATTAATTGTTTCAAAAAATTGTCCTGTACTGCATCTAGGAAGTCTTCAGATTCATAATCACCTACAATGTTGTCCCAGTTAATATTTCTGAAGTTGAAATCCCCCATAATGCACAGGTTGTTATATTTTGCTGCCCTACTCATTTCCTGCCATATGGGCTGAGCTGCTTCTTTCCCAAGACTTGGGGGGGCCTGTAAATCACTCCCATAATTAGTTTTTCTCTTCCTTCCATAATTTCTACCCATACAGACTCGGTTCCTATTTCACCCTTTATTGAATTATTAATACAACATTTTAATGTATCCCTGACGAAGAGTGCGACCCCTCCCCCCTTCCTACCTTTCCTGTCCTTGTGAAAAAGGTTGTACCCTACTATGTGGTACTCTGATAAAAAGTTTTTGCTCGCCAGATTCATCCAAGTCTCGGTGATTGCTATGACGTCTACATTCTCGGTACATACAACCGCTCTCAGCAAGTCTATTTTATTTCTAGCGCTCCTACTGTTTGTAAAGTATACATTTAAACCTACCCTTTCCTGGTCCTGTTTTACCCCTTGTCCTGAGTAACCAATTTTACTTCCCAGGACCTGCTTGTTTTTTTACTCCCACTTACCCCGACAATTTCACGCTCCAGGGATGCAGACAACGTCTTTACCCCCGCACTAGACAAGTGTACTCCGTCACGACTGTACAGGTAGTCGTTGCCATAGAATGATTGCCAGTTATCAATGAATGCCCAACCATTGTTTGTACAATGTTTTTCCAGTCGGCAATTTATAGCAATTGCCCTGGACAGCCATTCACGACCAACCCCTCTTCTAGCCAAGACACCACATACTATCGGGATCCCTCCCCTATCTCTAATCTTCCCCAGCGCCTCCCTATACCTCTTGAAAAGTTCCTCACTCCTAACCTTTCCTATGTCGTTTCCTCCCACACTACTGGATTGGTACCCTCCCCTGACAAAACCCTATCTATCCTCTCAGCTACATGCCCTATCCCAGCCCCAGGAAAACACACCCTAGTCCTACGTTTCCTATCTCTTGCACAAAAAGTCCTATCTAAAAACCTCACCTGGCTGTCCCCAACTACCACGACCTTACCACTGGGCAAGGTTTGTACAACTGCCCTTTCCTCTCCTTGCACCACACTGTCCTGCCTCTTCTCTTCCTTGTCCTTCCTCTTCTCTTCCCTGCCAGCTTCCTACAACACCTGGTAGGGGTTACTGCACTCCACACCCTGGTCAGCTTTCCTGAGTCTGACCCTAGTTGGTTTAAATTCTGTGTAACTATTTATGTTATCTATTAACTTTCAACCTTTAGGAAAACAGTATTAAAACGTTATTTATTGAGGTTATGTCTAAAATGGAAACAAATACCATAGCCATTTGTGCCATATAGAGTTTATAATGTTAAATTAATATTCTGTAATCAATTGCATTTTAATTATAGTTTAAAGTACAGCAATGATAAATAAAAACATCTCCCTATAAATATTCCTTCACATCCAGAAAGAGGATATAGTTTTAATAAATACACTAAGGAAGTAAGATACATAGATAATTTCCATTATATACTAAGAAGAATATTTATATAATCTTTTATTAGTTACAATTTGATATGTAGGGATTTATTAGTAAATATGATGTGGAAAGAGAGAGAGAGGGAAAGAGAAGTGAAGGGAAGGCCAACACGTGTTCTCGGGTAGTCAGTGTTGTTATTTACGTCAAAATGGTAAGTTAGTTCTGAATTCCTTCCATTAATTTTCATAAAACAAAGATTATTATGGTTATTGAATAGATTGTTTATATTTATCCATTATTATACTATTTAGATATATTTAATCAACTCAATCTGTGTTAGTTCACGAGATAGATATTATTTTAGGAAGTGAATAATTTTTAACGTTCCAATAATTCGTACATAAACCTAATTATGTTTTGATTACATAAGGATATATTACATCCTTATTATAGATAAATGTTTATTGAATGTGTACAATAGTCATTTAATTAAGGTTGATATAGTTTGGCCATAGACTATACAGGTAGACCTTAGGCCGGATGGACCCACAGTTATCATAATTCTTTGGAACGACGTCTGTGTTTTATGAATAATTTTATATTATTTTAATGCAATACGATGTTTTTTTAAATTACTTCTGACCTCTATTTCTCGTGTAAATTCTTAGAAAATGTAAAAGCCTAACCTAACTTAAGACAACTTGGTAATTGTCTAGATCGGTGACTTAGCCAATCAAAGCTCACTCACGGTAAAATAGCATTAGTAGAACTTAGTCGCTCGTGGCAAAATATCCACTACGTTTTTATATACATCATCTTTCTTAAACTACAGTAGTGATATACTTAGCTAAGTTTTATAACAATGTTTAATGTACAGAAAAAACTTTTGTGGTTTTAATTTTATTTATATCCTTCAGCCGAAGTCAAAGAAGACAAGGAAGTTTGCTGTCATGAAGAGAATGATCAACTTAAATGATCCTAGATTGTAAGTATTTTTCATGGAACTTTTTCAAACTTTAGATGTGACTCTATAAGTTACATTCATGACATAACTTTTGATGTGAATAATACTGTACTGTGAATTAATGTTTGAGTACAGTACAAAACTTAAGTACTTTATCAGTTTATTGGAGAAACACAATACAGTACAGTACTGTACTGTAAAATATATTGCATTACTTGTAGTATTTTAGACTTCCAGGAGAATCATACTAAGATTAAAGGAATAAGCAGTTTATTTAATAACTAATGTGAAATTATTTCAGACAGGCTACTGACCCGGGTCTGGCTCCGTTAACTTTTGAGTGGGAGTTGGATATACCTGACCTAATGATCTTTGACCATGTTTGTTTTGTAGTCTTCTTTACAAACTGTTTCACACTGTGTATGTTAACTTTGACTAAATTGGGTTTTGATGTGTGAAGACCAAGTATTTCATTCTCAGCTTTCAGGCAAGCTGTGCCCAGGTGTTCAACCACTCTTATTTATGTTGTGCATTATTTAAGAGGACTGATAAGTTTTCTATGTTTAACCCCTTTACTACAGAGACGAGATTCTTAATGTTTTATTTGGCTAACTCCAGATGGTTTTATTAAGCTCAGAGGGGACCCCATACACAAAGGTTTAAGGTACACAAGGGCTTAAGGTTAATTTCAATACAGATATTAGTACATTCCAGTGACAATTACTGTTATGGTTCATTGTTTATGTAGAAAAATTCCCATATTATGTTTCTCTCTTTATTAAAAATGTTATCACTGCAGTATAATTTATTGTTTATATAATACTGAATACAGATACTGGTATACCTATATTATGCTGTAGTATATATTATGTAGTTTCCCTTCTATATACTGTACAGTCCAGTTATTAAAGTGTTAGTGTGGTCATCTCTGGCTTCAGCATGACCAGTGTGTGTTAGAGATATAGATAAACACTTCACTTTCAGGTCATTTGCATACAGTATTGAAATGTATTGACAAGTGTTTTTTTTATTCCAGGAAGGAGGAGGACCGCAAGACCAAAAAAGTAAAAAAACCTGACCCGCACGAACAGAAGGTGAATGAGGCGTAAGTTACTCAGTTTTGTCCTCCATTTTAAGTCATAGTTTACAATTTCTTTTCTTATTGTTGTGCTAGTGCCTACAGTTTCTGAGTAGACATATTGTTACTGTGTTTTTATGATGGTATTACTGAGTAGACATTAATATTACTGTGTTTTTGTATTTCACAGTGCAGTGCTTCCATTAGTGTCTCGTATCTTGGTGCATTTTCTTAATTATGTACAATACAGTTCTTTTAATCACCAGTGCCTGTGTTTATTGTTATTTAGATTCCTTTTTCATGTATTTCCTTCACCTAACTTTGAGTTATCCAGTGTACAGTTATTGTAATTTTTTTAGTAATTATAGTACTGTACAGTAAAGCCTTGAATAACGACGGTAATGTGTCCTCCAATATTGCAGTGTAAGGTGGATCATCGTATTGTGAATCATTAATTATCATTAAAATAAAGCAATAATAATAATAATGAGATGTATTCCCTAGTGTGACATTTTCATATCGTTTGTGTAGCTTTTTACCCTCTTTCCCCCCAAAACAATACAATTAATGAAATATGCAAACTATATTCATTAAATAATGTTTATAAATGCACCTTATACAATATAAATCAATATTGATATGGTCACACAAGAGGAGATGGGACGCCATTGTTTTCATTAGTGTTTACACCCGTGACGATGGCTCTACATAAGAAACTGAAGAAAATAAGACCCTGGTTGTAGCTGTAAGGAAATTAATGTAAAAATTGAATATGTATGGTTTAAGTTATGTTATTAAATGTTAATAAATAGAACAACAGAAGTAGCTAACCACTAATGGTGCAGAAAATAGGCGAGACGGATTGGGAGCGCCATCGTATGTTAGTGTGTACATGCGAAAACATATTGTCATTTCTCTACATAAGAACGTGAAAGCAACACTTATTACTGCTCATATATGTTTTAAATAATACTTATGAATGTAAACAAAAATTCTACTCACAAATGGTGGTAAAGTCTAAAATATAAGGACAGCCAATGTTGTGCAAGTTTTTACTCAGATGACGAAGTCATCAGGTTCATCTCTGGCTGAAGCTGTAGGTTCAACTGTGGCTGAAGCTGTAGGTTCAACTGTGGCTGAAGCTGTAGGTTCAACTGTGGCTGAAGCTGTAGGTTCAACTGTGGCTGAAGCTGTAGGTTCAACTGTGGCTGAAGCTGTAGCTTTCCATAAAGATGTCATAGCTGTTGATGAAACTGTTACTGAACCTATGGTTGTTGCTGAAGCTGCTGAATTTGATGGTGCAGCTGAAGTTGATAGTTTAGGCCTTCTAATAATAAAGCTGTCGAAAGAACCTAGCACAGCTGCTTTCTTTTCTCATTATACATTTTTATGTAGAAGTCATATACGTTTTTAATGCTTCGTTCTGTTAAGGGATCCAGTTCAGAAAATATGTTCATTGCTTGCTCCATATAATCTGCACAGACCTCTCACCTTTTTCTTATCGTTTTAACACATCTAGTTTCTCGGCTAAGTTTATACACTTTCTTTTAGCTTTTGAACCAGCACTACCATCACTTGCCCTCTTGCTCATGTTGAATAGGGACACAAAAATGCCATAAGAAACCTGAGAAAGTTTTTATCTTTTTCCTGTTCAGATGAGCAAAAAAAAAAGGCCTGCCAAGTTGCAACTGTTTATACTAGAGATGCTGGCATTACCACTCACTCCGGCCAAGTTGCAACTATTAATACTAGAGATGCTGGCATTACCACTCACTCCGTGCGCAAGGCATTTTTTTTTGTATGATACATATCGGGATTTAGTTATTATTTATATGAAAATGTAATCTTGTTTTATTTTTTATTCTATTTTTGTCGTAAATACCAAGGAAAAAACAGTGTAAATTGAATTGGGTCCTAAATTAACCAGGGTCTTCAATATGAATCATCATTAGTAGAACCGTCGTTATCAGAGGCTTCCCTGTATTGAGAATAATAATTATATCTTGAACATTGATTATAGAATTGCAGTACAGTTTAGGGGTAATTTTTGTAGTAGTTAAAGTATTAAGAATGAATAATTCTATCTTGAACACTGATAATATAATTACAGTAACAATACATACTGTATAGAATATTTAAAATGTTAATTACCCATCGTTTCAGCATAGGTCAAAACATGGATATTGTCCAAACTCATACATAGTTACTCTTCACATGCTGGTTAAGGATATGTTGTCCGTCATTTAATGTCTGTATAAATTACTTGTCCAAATGACATTTCAAATACTTTAATTATATACTTTTCTAATGCTCACTGCCTATAGTTTTTCTTATTGATAGTGATTAATTATATCCTGAACACTGATTACGTGCATATCCAACTTGTGGCATATATTGCCAGGGTCACATGTCTTTCACCATGAGACAAAATATTTACCTTCTACTGTATTACCGAACTTTAAGAATGTCCCTTGCACTAAAGTGTACTGACGTAATCATTATTTGCAGGCCACAGTACTCGTCTGCGCTGTTCTTCGAGTACAACACCCAGCTAGGTCCTCCATACCGCATCCTAATCGATACCAACTTCGTTAACTTTGCCATCAAGAACAAAGTGGATATTGTTTCTGTGAGTATTTTGCCATCAAGAACTAGGTGGATTTTGTTTCTTTTAATATTTTCCTTGAATTTTTTATATGAAAAGACTAGACTTATTATATGAAGAAACTTAGTTCTTTCCTGTGCTTCCCCTCCCACCCAAAAATCTACTTGTGATCATGGATCGATTACACACAAGTTCTGATTAAATTTATGATGGATTCCTGTTGGTGTTGCAAGTAATATCACACATGTTTATTTGCACAGGGGATGATGGACTGTCTGTATGCCAAGTGCATTCCCTATGTGACGGAATGTGTACAAGGAGAATTGGAACGTATGGGAGAGAAATACCGTCTGGCACTGAAGGTTATCAAGGACTCTCGCATTGAGACTCTGCCATGTCTTCATAAAGGAATATATGCCGATGACTGTCTTGTTCAACGTGTCACACAGGTTAGGACAGTGTGTGTTACCACAGATTTTGAAATCTTAATATACCAAAGATTAACACCAGCTTCACTGATTTTTTTTTTTAATTAGGACAAGTTTTAATTATATACATAGAAAAAAAAATAAGAATTCAGATAATTTTATTCAACCTGTCAGAGTAAATATTGCCTCAAGTGACATTCTATTTTGTTCTATTTACTATGGAACATAAATAATACTTAGATAAAGATAGTAGGGTTAGATTAAGATGCTTTATGTTCTGTATTCTTATGTTAACTGAGGAAAGTAATAGTTTTCCTTGATGTGTTCTTCCACCCAGCATAAGTGTTATATCGTGGCAACCTGTGATAGAGACTTAAAGAGAAGAATACGCAAGATCCCTGGTGTTCCCATCATGTGTGTCAGCCAACACAAGTAAGTTACTCCTGGGTCACTTGTTTGTTCTCTTTATAATTTTTAATTTCCTCCCATTTTGGTGTGAGGTAGGTTAAGGGGTACAGGTTATTGAAAGACAGGGGTGTAAAGTGATTGTAGACAGTAACAGGAAGCAATTGATTTTATGCAGGAAACTGCTCGCTTTTGACTGTAAAATATCTTCAACTTTGTTGTACAGGATTTATGAAAAAAAAACCGTAGTAAAAGTCACTCATATATTAAATAATTCTCTTTATTACAAATAATCATCAAGCTTATAATGGAAGACAGGAAGTAAAGATGTCTACACTTTTATTTTACTTACAACTTTTTATTTATGAATTTGAAGGGAAATTAGATTCGACATATTCACTATATTGCCATCCTGGGATATCCATTACAGAGTCTGTCCTGTGTATGAGTTCTCCCTCTACTTGCCACAGTCACAACCCTGTATGTAATGGTGTCTGTGTTGAAGCTTTGACTCCCTTTTGCTCTTGTAAGCTCCCCCTCTCATTATGGTGCCAAGTGGGGAGTTGCCATTATCAAAGAGTAATGCAGATACTGTACCTCCCATGTGTACTGTTCATTATCTTTTTTAATTACCTTACTTGATGTGTACTGTTATGGTGTTCTCCCATTATGAGATCCCATCATTGTTTTAACTTTTCGTCTGTGTTTACTAAGGTGGTGTGGATATGCCGAGCTAATGGGAAATGAAGGTCAAGGATTGATTGAAAGAATGTACTGTACTGGTGTAATACATAGGGGCATGGTAGGAGGGGGAGACCAAGGAAAAGTAAGGATAGACTAACAGGAAACAGCACCTAGTACTGCGTAAGTGAATGGGAGCAAGTTAGTGGCTGAATGTGAGGAAGAGAGCAAGTTTTTCAAGAGTAAAGATATTTTTACTTGGAACAGGTCCCTAGTTTTCCTTAAAAGATTAATTATTTACCATAAACGGCTTTACTATAATACTCACTCCCCGTGAGGGAAGGAACTACTGTAGAGTATATTTTCTAATCCTTCCCTCTTATGATGCAGGTCGTCTCCTACTCATTGCACCTGCTAGTGTCAGTACTGTACAACTTCATGTTTGTTTGGTGGAGAAAATGTCCTCACTTCTAGGAATACTATTTCTGACTGACATTGATTGACTGACTTACCCAAGAGATAATATTTTGACGAACTTAAGACAATGCAGCCTCTTATTTTTCTTAGCCATTCTTGTTCATATTTGCTTATTTATTTTATCTTTCAGGTTTGTCATAGAGAGGATGCCAGATGCACCACAGATGTAACACAAGCTTATTCTGATTTCTGTTACTTTAGACTTCTTCATAAATACTAATAGTACGCAAAGTTGGTTAGTATTACATGTCAAGGATTCCAGTGTCACTTTTGACCAGGTATGTCACTTTATGTATGTTCAAGAAGTGACAGGTGGAGTGCTTGTGGTGTAAGAGTAAATGGAATTTTCATAAAGAATTGAAGTAGGAAGCCTCACTCGTCTTCACCGGGTTTGGGTTTTAACTTACATACATTTTATCAGTTTCTTGGCATTTAAATGTGTTCATAACTGCAGAAATAAATAAAGTAAATATTTTGTGTAGGTTGAATTTTGTATTGATCAACTTTGATAAAATAATCAGACCAAGTAGTTTTCTAGATGCCTTGGCTTCCAGCTTACAATGAAAACTCTTTTGGGGTGTAAGAAATAAATGCAAAGATCCAGACTTGTGATACAGTATTTGGTCGAGTTTGTATTTACTCAGAAAATAAAAATTTCCTGCCAAGTAAATCATGTGTTATTGTTTTTACATCAAGTGGTGTTGCAGAACTGCTGCACTCTAATATTTGCAATTGTTTTTTGATGGTAATAATGTTTATGTCATTTTTATTATGACATTGTTGAATTTCTTCAAGATGCTAAAAGCACCTTGCACATTGGCCTTTATTATGAGGATGATGCCTTAAAGTTGCCAATATCTATTCATTAAATATTACAATGACACAAAAGTGGGTGCAGCAGCTGAGTGGATATACTGAACCACTCTCCCTCAGATTAATTGGCTGCCAGAATCCTGTGATGACCACAAAGTGGAGCACCCCCAGTTGACCCAACTGCAGAATGAGCACAGTCATTCTCCCTGTCATGAAAGATTGCCCTTGACATGATCATCTCTGAAGTGAACCCAGGTGAAATATTTATTTCCAATGTTGTTTTGGAGATACTTCCCAAGAAAAAAGTAAGTAGTACAGGCAGTCCCCGAGTTACAAGCACCCAAGTTATGAACAAGCCCCGATATATGTTCACTACAAAAATCTATAACTAAAAATCCTATTTTTTTACATTATTTTATATTGTTTAACATGACTTTGTTTGTAGTATTTACATTATTTAAGAGATTAATATTGCGACAGACGAACAGAGTTCAGGAACGTAACCCATCCATAACTCGGTGTCGGCCTGTAGTGCTGTTAAAAATGCATCTTTCTGGGAACCTACTTACACCGATCTTATAGATGTGTTTGTTATAACGCTTTCTCAGGTAATGCATTTTGATCACTGTACGAGGTATGACTGTTACGACTTTATTGGTTCAGCATCTGACATCTGACTCATTACTTGGGGTGTAGTACTGTATATGTATGTATACAGTATTCTACTTTTATTACAATCTATTATGACGTATGTGACTAGGTAAAATATGATTCTTATTAGTTTGTCATTTGATTCTCTTTTTCATTCTAGAGGAATTATTGTGTATTTGAATTATTTAAGTAATTATTGGTGTAGAGACTAAATGTAATGTGATCATACATTATTAAAATCAATGGGATAATTATCAAGACTTATTTATCTTGCCAAATTGCTTTACCGTGTTGTGGCTTTATATCAAAATTTCCTTTACTGAAACTTGGACAAGCAATAATACATATTGCAATACAGTACCTCAATATATTATTGCACTGGATTTCAATAATACAATCCAGTTTTTAAAATCAATAATCACTGTCTCAAGTATTTTAAACAACAGTAAAGCACAATTCAATTGGCATGCATACTATTACAGTGGGGTATGCTATAACGAATCTAATTGGTTCTAGAACCTTGTTCGTTATAGCATTCGTTCGTTATAGGATTAATCCGTTCCAGGCCCCCAAATACAACCACTAAACACTGAAAAATATAATATAAAATTGTAAAAATTGTAAAAAAGTGCATAAATATGCATCTAAACCCCTGAAATAATGAGTATCATTAATACTTGTAATAAAAAAACAATAAATTAGTAAAAAAAATAAAATAAATAAATAATGTTCGTTGTAGGAGTTTCGTTCGTTATAGCATTCTCAATTTTATAGGTAAAACCGTTCGTTATAGGAATATTCGTAGTAGGATCCGTTCATTATAGCATACCCCACTGTACACATTTTTCCGATAAAGGACGTCGTGATTTTTCTTCAAGCTGCAGGCTATTAAAATACACTGTACAGTATAGTCTGCATTTACGAGGTCAATTGAACCCGTGGAGGCCCGCGTAAAACGAGAAACGCATAAATGAAGTAACAGAACATATGGGATTAATTGAAATAGAGACTGGGCCGACCCCCAAACTCCACTTTTTCCGACACAATACGTACGTTGTAGTAAAAATAACATCTTAATTTTATGATGGTATGCACACACAATTAATAATTAAGAGAAATATCAATAATATTAGGTTTTTTAACACTTACATTAGTAGAAAAGCTGGATCGGCACACGTGGATGGCGGCTGGTTCCGAGGCAGAGGGCAGGTTAGTTGCCCTCCGGTGAATCACTTTCACTACTCGCAGAGGTTTGCAGGGCCTCCCAGACAAACCCCTCAAAGTCCATATCCTCACTGTCAACATCACTAATTTGGGCTGGCTGTGGTTGGTTGCAGGCGAGGAAGTCCTCAATACTACGTTGACGACTAGCATTGATGTTCTCGAGACAGATCCGGATATACGGCTCCATAACTTTCGTCAAATGGTTATTAGATGCTTCATACCAATGCTTGTCTGGGTCGTTGTCAAGGATGAGCTTAATTTTCTCCCCCAACTCGATGATTTCCTTCACATTATCATGGCTTGGTCCAGGTAATTCAATGTTTTTTCTCTGGTGGTGGGGTTCCCGCGGAAGCCATTGTGAGTTGTGAGGGGAATAGCGGGCACAAGAGAGAACTGTATACGCGGACTGAGAACAATGAGACAGGCCCTGCTAGGTCAGCGACTTCTACCCTCTGGTGGCAGGGCACGTCATGTTACATTAGACCAATCACAGCTAGCGGCGGAGGGAGGTAAGAATGCGTGGCCCAATCACAGTCCGATACGTCTTATGACGTCAGCGATAACGTAAGAGCGGCCTAATGCGCACCACTCACCGCGCCGCTTCCCGCGTATGGTTAAGAATGAACCGCGTGGGTAAAAATTGGCGTGGTGGTCTGGACCTCTCCAGCCGCTCGCCGCTTAAATGACCAAATTTACCGCGTAATTAAAGCATTTTCATTCTGGCAAGGCACCGAGTAAATGACCAAACACGTAAACAAAAGTCACGTAAATACAGACTATACTGTACATATCTTAGATTATTTCACTAATTAACACGAAAGTAATTCATACAAATGTTATGATTTCTGTAGATACAATACGAGTTGTTAAATGCCTTTTGTTATGCCAAGTATTGGTTTCACCATCACAAGAGATGTAATCACATCATCAGTAGAACGGACCTGTGGTTAATGTGACTACCAAAGAATACAGCGGTTATCACCACGGTTCATGGGCGAGTCACTCGGGCAGTTCCACACCTTGCTGAACTGTTCGGCATTGGAGAGAGGACCCAAGACTCGGAATCTGCCCGGGGAGTGAACGTCGGAGAGTAACTGCATCAACACGGCTTGGCCAGATTTGTGTTCACACCACTCCTGAGAAATGAGTCTTATATGAGATACAGTACTTGCATGTACTTCAAAAGTTCCCAGGTTCAATTTCTGGCTGAAGAGGAAGATTAAGGTTCCTTGTACACGCAGCCTTGCAAACTTGTTGGTAATAAAATAATATACTTTCAGGACTCTTGCTGATGGTGGACAAACTCTTCAGTGGTTCAACAACCTGCCAAGTGTGTTGGGATAACCCACTAGCTGCAGGATGTTAAGGATTGGGATATCACCAGTACCTGTCCAACCACCTAGCATCATATAAAAGAGAAAGCTTGTACTGTATCCATGAAAAACGACTGATTGATCTGAAATTCCATTTTAACGCCAAATCCAGAAGTGAGTGACTCGTGTATTACCCACGGTGTTTATAGACTTATAACCTTTGCAGTACCTTGACATTAGAAACTGCAACTGATCCATTTTTAAGCACATACACGTCCATTAAATCTAGACGTTTATTAGGTATTTACATATGATATTGTTTAAAGACCATAACTGATAATGGTCAAGGTACTGCAAAGGTTATAAGTCTATAAACACCGTGGGTATTTGGCGTTAAAATGGAATTTCAGATCAATCAGTCGTTTTTCATGGATACAGTACAAGCTTTCTCTTTTATATGATGCTAGGTGGTTGGACAGGTACTGGTGATATCCCAATCCTTAACATCCTGCAGCTAGTGGGTTATCCCAACACACTTGGCAGGTTGTTGAACCACTGAAGAGTTTGTCCACCATCAGCAAAAGTCCTGAAAGTATATTTATTTATTACCAACAAGTTTGTGAGGCTGCATTTATAAGGAACCTTAATCTTCCTCTTTAGCCAGAAATTAAACCTGGGAACCTTTGTTTGGGGTAAATGCTCTACCTATGAACATCTGTTAATATCATTTGCACCTCATAGATTTGATGGGTAAAATACACAAGGCTTTGTGGATCAATGGTAGGCCATAAGTCTTCTACACCAGTATCCAGCATTGAAACTTGTTCTTCATCCATTCAACTTAAAGGGCTTCTTAGCCCCACACACACTCTCTTCTTACATATTCATTCCGTATTCATTTAAACCTTCCAAACTCCCATAATACTTAACAGGTTGCCCAGCCTTCACTACTATGAAACACCAGAATTTCACATGCATACATCAGGTTAGAAAATTACTGTACTCCCTTATGCTATCTCCTTGCACGTTCCAAACTCTTAATTCTCCCTGTTCATTACGGTTTTAAAGGTGCCTCTCTTTCCTCCTATACTTATACAGTAGCCGTATTATAATTATTATGCACCATTTTTGCATTTTTGTGCCTTGAAAACACTTCATCCAGATGAGCTTTAAGGCAGCAAGATTTGAAGTTGGTCTAGATTATACAGGTGAATTAACATAACATTATTGCAAGTCCACATACGTTAGCAATGCCCAGATAGAAGAGATGGTCTGGGGAGAACTCTTCTAGACCAGGAAGTCTCGCCTCCTCTCCGTAACGTTCTACATACAGCTGATAGGCTCGGAACGCTTCACGGACACCACCGTTGTCCGCTATGTTCTCACCTTCTGTTTTTTTACCATTGATCTAAGTTGGGAAAAAGGCACTTTGTACAGTATATTATAACTCAAATGCTATAAAGACCTAGAGAAAAAAATATTATTTCAACAGTTTTGCCATACCTTACTGCCCCTCTCAGTACATACAAGATACCACCTTCACTCGGTTGTTACTTAACAAAATATTACCGATATGTTCATTCCAATTTCAGCCAACTCGGGCGGGACATAGCTGTCGTACTGATCAATATAGCACTGAGCGTGTTTCTCGTATGCTGTGATGGTTTCGTTACTCCACCACTGCCTGAGGTTTCCGAACTTGTCATACAAACGACCTAAAATATATGGAAAATAGATTAAAAAACGTGTAATATGGTTAAAGAAATAATCTAAACATTAATGAAAATGAAAGTGGGTTCCATAAGACTAATGGCAGGAAAGTAAGTGTTATACCATACAGCTGTTTCCGACTGAAGCATTCAAATTAAAATCTGTGTTTCCTTCTTAAAACTTTATAAAATTAAAGTTTGGAAGGGACCTTAGTCAAGTTTGAGACTACAGTAGTTACATTATAAAAAACATTATTGATTAACTTATACTGTACTGTCAAGTTCCCAGCTAACCCTTATTCTGAAAGCCAAAAAAGTTCCCAGCTATCCTGTCATACTAAAAGACAAGGAAAATCTCCCAATTAACTTGTACTATCATACCATAAACATGGAAAACTTCCAGCTAACCTGTATTATCAAAGCCATGGGTCATTTCATGGCCTATCACCATGCCGATGCCTCCATAGTTGAGAGCAGCAAGTGAGTTGTGGGAGTAGAATGGATACTGCAGAATGCCAGCCAGGATTGCTGGAAGTGAAATATAGTAGTCTTAACATCAGGTAGAACACCAAGTTAATTCTTGATTGCTAAAGAACTATGTACTGTACAGTACTAAATGTATTTCAGTATTTAAACAAATTCAAATGTTATTAAATCAAAACAGTTTTAATGTGATACACAACTGCTTTAGTAAAAAAATGACATGATAACATGACAGACAACAACAAAAGCTTGTGTACTCACTAATTGTGTTTTGGATCGGGTTGTAGAAGGCGTTGACCACTGTCGGAGGGAAGATGAACCTGGTGGGAGAAAAATATAAGCGACATGTGGCAGTAATACAGTACAGGTACTAACAAATCAGTTCTTACGGCAGAATTTTTCTTATGAGTTTCAGGGACAGTACTGTACTGTACACAAGTGACTTCAGAATTCTATTTAAGGAAGACATTAATATCCCAGAAATATTAATGAATTAATTTACCAAAGAGGAAATGAGAAGCTACTACAGTACATTAGATCTCAAACATGGTGTGAGGTCCTGCACTTACGAGTGTTCTGGTGTTTCACGTAGAGAGTTGAGCTTGTGGAAATTATACCATGCTCCTATATTGACCAAGTTTTGCACCTGTTTCTCATAGGTAATGTCCAGCTGAAAAGAGGACAGTGTGTATGATAGAGAGCTGACATCTATTTCTGAATGCTTTCGAGACAAAACAATACAAGTTATGAAGGTGGAGGTATTGAAAAACGTGTCTTTAGTCCAGTAATGCTCGTATATTGGATATGAATGCTACTGTACTTTGATAATTTATATTACATTACATATATGCAACAGTAGGAGTACATTTGTATGTTCAATTTATTGGTAACACAGTGTGAGTAGGGAGTTCATTTATAAATCAGCAACTTTAAAAGTTCTATAAAAGATAACTTCTTTTTTACCCCAGCAATATCCCAAAACAAGTGGAGGATCTGCTACAAGCAGCTGTGTAGCTTCATCTAAAATCAGTAATCAATCTCTTTATATTTCAAGAGAATCCTTTTTTATCCTTCCCCATGATTATGGTGAACTGAACATTTCTTCATGAATACCCTGTACTTACATCCTCATAGCCCAGTGTTAGCTCTTCATCATCCATGATCCAGTCAGGGTAGGCAACGAAGGGGTCAATAGCAGCCAACTTCTCCTTGGCTACTGCCAGGTCCTCTGGAAGCATCCATGTGTTCTCATCAAGGAGGGAGTCGTAGGCTTTGCGGATGTCTTCCACTAACTCTGACACCTGAATAGGGTATTACAAGACACATGTTTATCTCCATATGAACACAACCAATCATGCACACATGTAGAGGTTTATATACGAGTACTGTATATTATAGACAAATCAACACAGTCTCACCTCTGGCTTTACTGTGCCAGCCATGAAACGGTCGACGTACTCCCTGGACATCGCAAAGCCCATGTTGGCGTTGGTCTGGTCCAAGCAGTGCTGCCGTTGGGTTGGTAGCTTCTCACCAAATAAGTCGTGGAAGAACTGAATGGAAACATTCCTCATAACGTAAGTGGTCTCGTCCTGGAGCTCGTAGGCCCACCACCACCCTATGGCATTAGCTGTACATATGTGGGAAGAAAGAAGGATTCAAGTTTCTTGAAGTATTTTGAGAGGCTGTTATAGAAACCAGAGAATTCTTTTGGTTACGCCTTCCCTCACAATAGCCAATATCGGGCTCACAGATGGAAAATTATATACTTTTAGTTGATTTTAACAATAAAACCCACATGGGCTTTTTGGGGATTGGGGATTTACAATGTATTGTTACTGGGCCTTTAACCTATCAGTTCCACCAAATGAAGATTTTATTATTCTTGCAGTATTATAAGCTAATATTACCAGACTATTGTGGAATAGTGTAAGGTTTGTCCATATAGTGGCATAACTCACCAAGGATCCTAGGCTCAGTGGCTGCCAGCAGGTTACTGAACATGCTGAAGAATGGCCCGTTAAAGGAGATGAGAGGTTCATCCTCGGTAATGGTGACGTCTGTGTTGGTGAACATTTCCTTCATGAATGCCAGCCAGTTGAACTACAAGAGAGAGGATAGGCATGAGAAATTATACAGGGCGAGCAAAAAATTTTAATATTTTGCATTATTGTTGATATATCATAACTGGACATAAAGTGTGGGTGGACATTTTGTTACCAGTCTTTTGAGTAGTACTTGGAAAATGTGATAAGATAATGACTGGAGAGATTAAATAAACAACTGATGAAATTTGATATGAAGTTGATTTTGCTACTGTAAAAGTGACCTCCTCTAACTGTCCATAACTGGTGGTACCGAGTTGTACTAGAGGGAGTGGCACTGTGACTCACCACGCCTGGAGTACCAGCATCAGTCATTTCCTGGACCTCCTTGATGTTAGTTCGATATATGTGGTCAGTAATGTTCGCCAGAGCCTTAAACACCATCTGTGAAGAATACAACCCATTACATTCCATACCTACATACCACAGTTCTCTTTGTTAGAGTACATTACCAAATGTACTGTCTCGTTCAAGATTCTTCGAACAGTGCTGGAGACAGCTGACAACTCCTGGCTGTTTGTTTACTATAGTACGTAGTAAAAATTATGAATAAATGTAAAAGTGATTGGTTACTTAGTTCCCCGTTGCTTAATTTAATCGTTGGGCTTTGTACAGTCGGGGTAAAAAATCTTGGAACACTTGACAGTACAGGTACATGTATTTGGCATGTAAGTATCCGAAGATCTTGGGTATCAAGGAGAGTTTTATCCCATTTTGTGGTTCAGGCATAATATGTGATGACAATTAGTGGTACGTATTAGTATATCCCAATCATATACTGTATGTATAACTCAGAAGTAGATGCCAGATATTTCTAAGTGTTCAAGACTTTTGACCCCAACTGTACATGTGAATACAAAGATTATACAATGTACATATGGCAAAGTATTTCTCAGAAAATATTACCTCAACAGCACATTTTATCAAGTTTTGTGCATTTCATATTACAGTATACGGTACAGTACTACTTTGTTACAAACTGTATGTTATCTACTTCAGTGTTTTAAGTGACAATACTGTCATGTACACTACATTGAGAGCACATTTCATTAGATTAAGTAAAATATCTGCAAATAGACTTGGTTATTATGTAAACAGATTCCCCCATACAGGAAAAACAATATCAGTTCAGGTCAGGAAAGGTGGTAAAACACAGCCACAATACATAAGGACAAAGAACAAAGAGAACAAACAATTATCAGTACCTGTGAGAAGGCAAGTTCAAACTCAACGATCTCCTCCGCCTCCTTCTGAATCTGTTCATCACTGACCAAGGTGCCCAGGTCATCTCTAAGGAGCTTGGCAGTGTCTGTTATGTAGGTCTTGTAGATATCCAACATCTCCTTGCTCAGATGCGATATGACGTTGATACCCAGTGGTACTGTGCCTATGTCCAGCTATATATGGAATATTATGTTAAATTAAGACTAAGGATATCTATCTATCTATACAGGTATAGATTAACACACAACTATAGATATAATGAAATGGAAGAGAATAAAGTAATTGTCAACAGGGAACACAATCATATCCACTCACATAAAGGATCTTGGTGGAGACATCCTCAACATCTGCGTCTACCCCAACGCCGAGAAGAGGGTAGGCATTGAGGTCACGGAGATTATTGATGGCGGTGGTAAGGGTGAATGCAGAGGGGTCCCAGGCATCCAGCACTAAAGGCCAGCCTCCCTGATGCTCCAGCACCAATGCCAGTGGTGCAAAGCCCAGGCTGTTCATTGTGTCTGCAACAGAAACATTGAAGTAGAAGGAGGCAAAAAGAAATACAGGATATAATAAAAATACAAGTATTAAAACAGCAGAATACGACAAGCAGAATGCAAGGTTCTCAAGGTTGGAGTTTTCTATTCAGCAGTGCTGTTGTGTTTGTAGCAGCAACACAAGCAGAATAGAATAACAATGGAACACTAGAATGACAACTCAGATATACTGTTATACAGTACTGAACCATAGAATGTAGATTATAAGACCAAGCATGATATAACAGCACAAAGATATAACACGTGCAGCATATAATTATAAGCAGATAACATCACAAGCAGTCAGATTTAACAACAAAATCAGTAGCCAAGAGAAGAATATCAAGGTCTGTTGACTGTGGGGGTTAAACTTCACCCAGTCCGACATGCCCTGCCACTTGCCTTTTCTACATCATCCTACCTGTCCCAGATTTATTAACCTGCAATCTCTCTGTTTGTCTCTATTCTTCATATACAACAATGCCTAAAAGTCACCCAACACCTTCCTTCAAACTTTTGGCCTATCCAGATGTATCTTCTCTCTCTTCCTCTCTATCTGTCACTAGTCCCCAATCCTACATGACACTGAATCACCCACCTGTGTCCATGCAGGTGTTGTAGTAGGTGCGGATCATGTGTAGAGGCTGGGGGGCATCAGGTTCTGCAGGAGAGTCTAGAATGAGGAAGAGTCTTTTCTCCAGTTTCTCACCTGCATCCTCAAAGGTGCCAGTCCTGTAAAGGGGTAAAGGACATCAGTGAATGGAACAAAGTAAATTCATGAACAAACATTAGTACAGGTATAACAAAATGCGAAGACTTGATAAGAAAAGAGAATGACAAACAAGGACTACATGAACAAAAAGAGAGGCAGCTGGGGTGAAGGATGATATTTGTTTCAGCTCTTAAGTACAAATACAGCAGAGGAGCAATAGATGCAACTGTGTGAGCAGCAACATCAGAAATACAGCATCACACCAAAGGAAGAGTACCTGTTGAGTAATAAGTGATACTCACACACCAGAGGGAGGGATGGGATGTTTATTAATCCAGCCGCCACATGCGAATTCGTAGAAGTTGTCACACGGATCCACCGACAGGTCCAGGTTCTCCGAGATCTGTGTTGCTGTTGAGACAGGACTCTTATACAGTACAACAGTTATATAATTATTAATCGAGTATTATAACCAGTAATATGAACAACCAATAAAGGCACAATTCATTCATCAGTGTGTGTGTATTTTCAGCCTCCCAGAATCTCAGCTCTTTGTTGCTGTCAGGTGTACAATTTTCATACAATAGTTAAGTCAAACAAAAATAGATAAAATCTTGTCATGTAGTGTTCACTTATTACTGGAAGGTCAATTTTCCATAGACGGAACAGTGATCACATTCTACAGAACATTAGCACACTAATTACTGTAATTACAACTTCTGTACTCCATTATCCTAATAGGCATGTTGAGGAAACCTATATTAAAATCTTATCAATTGGTAAACCTACTGTTTACAATGAAGATGTTGCAATGACTCACCAGCTATGGCACACTCGGGCGTCTCGCAGATCCGCTGAGCATTTTCCAGTCTGGTGGGCAGCCTGGTCGACTCCTTCACCTTGCCTGTCTTCTGCCTATGTGCCAGTCGTTGTTGCAACAGCTTGGGGAGTCTAGAACCATCGTGTTCTTGTGGTGTCTCTATTTTCACCTTCTTCTGATGGGGGAAGATATGTAGAGAGAGATTGGTAGACAGTAAAAGTATATACAGAGAAAGAGAGAGGAAGATGATTTACCTCCTGGAAGTCAGGGTCAAGTGGTTGCTTGGGCTGCTTCACCTTCGGATGGGGGGCTAGTGGTGGTGGTGGACGATTACCCTTGTACACTCCATGCACTTTCTCCACTGGCACCTGCACCTGTGACACACATACAGGAGAAGCCAAGTCTTATCACTAATCATAAGGAACTTACATCCAGTACTATAGTTTAAGGTATATTAAAATAGTGGGATAAATCCTTAACATTATTATATTTCTTACTATGAGATCCACCTGCGAGTCCTTGGAATGTATCCATATATTTATAAGGTAATCAACTAAAATGCAAGGGATTTACACCACCAAAATAGGTATCAAAGGATCCTTAAAGCCAAATGTCTGGTGTATCCGAACATTATTTGCCCTGTCAAGAATTAAAAAAGTCTGTTTTATATTTTCAGGTGACTTTTGTGAGATAAAGAATTTAGTGGATTTAAGTAATAAATGTAAGAGTCATCAAATGTGTGTGTGTGTGTGTGTGAGAGAGAGAGAGTTGGGGGCGAGGAGTGATATACCTTCTGGAAATGTGGACGAGGAACGAGTGGTGATGACGGACAGTTGACCTCATACAGTCCCGTAATTTTGTCCAGTGGCACATTCACCCGCAATACAAACTACTCACTCTAGATGGTGCACACTTAACTATGTCCAGGACTCAGAAGGACAGCTAAATTAACCTTATTTACAATGATACTTCCAAGAATTTTAAGTTACCATTACACAGTTTAACATAGTGAAATAAGGGAACGAATGTCATAATTAAGGATATTTACAAGAGAAATAGTATTTATTTTTAATATTATCTAATCTATAAAAAAAAAAAGAGAGAGAGAGAGAGAACACTTTATGTACCTGTTGGAATTTTGGGTCAGGTGGATGCTGGGGTTCTTGCACCTGCTGGTGGGATATGTGTGGTGGTGGTGGTGGACGTTCACCCTCATACAGTCCCTCCACTTCACCCAGCAGCACCTCCACCTGCAACACACACCACCTAACTCAGTGGAGGTATACTGGAGTTCGTCTTACTAGCATTAACAACCATTTACTCCATATATGGAGAGGATAGTAATTCCTAACTATATATTTATTCCTACTTTATATAGTGGACCTTGTTAATTGGGTTTGCTTACAAGATAAGTAAATAAAGTACTCTACAAGAATTTTATAGTAAGGTGTGAAGTAACCTCACCAGTATGAACACTAGAGAGAAACGACATTTTCAATATGTCCACTTATGCAGACAAAATGAATTGCTGTTAAACTTATGAATACTGTACTAACAAAAGCAGGGTGTGGTTTTATTGAAACTCAGTGAAAACTCAAAGAATCCTGTGAGTTATTAAGAGGCAAAGAAAGAACTGGATGTACCTCTTGGAAGTTTCGATCAGGTGGATGCTGGGGTTCTTGCACTTGCTGGTGGGAGATGTGTGGTGGTGATGGACGTTCACCCTCATACAGTCCCTCCACTTCACCCAGCGGCACATCCACCTGCAACACACACCACAAACTTTAGTGGAGGTGCACTGTACTGGAGTGTGTGTCCTACCATAGTTCAGGAGGAACCTACACTCACTACTGTACCTTAATGGCTGTACAAGGAGGTGGTGGAGTAAGTAGCCAACATTACTGTACTCCTACCTACGAGGAAAAAATACAAAGGACCCGGGAATGCATCTGTGTATCTGAGGAGAACCTCAAGAGAAAGATAAACACAGATGAATAAAGAGAGAGATCAGGCAATCTTACCTCCTGGAACTCTGGCTGAGGATTAACTGGTGGATGGTACAGGCCATCTATCTTATCCAGTGGCACCTCCACCTGCAACACACAACTCAGTGAAGGTATACTGGAGTTTGTCTTACCAGCATTAACAACCATTTACTACATGTTATGGTGAGGAAAATAATTATATTCCTTCCTACTTTATACACTTACTGTTGGCAAAACATCCCAGTGGACCTTGTTAATTTGTTTCATTTACAAGTAAATATAGTACAGTGTAGTGGATTCCTCCCCTACAAGTGCCGTTTGTCGCTGAGTAGCCGACCCTTCTCGAATTCCCCAGCCTACGCCTCCAGCGCCGCCTGACGGAGCGGGGGTCAACTATCAACCCACGCCTACCCCCGCCTTTTAAGACCTCACCCCGCCGTGACCACCCTCTTTCTACCTACGGCCACCAGCAAGCAACGCCACCTCCTCCACTCCAGCCTGGCGGCTCCCGCTCCCGCCGGCGACCTTGGCGTCCCTCAAGCTGCGTGCCCTCCTCTGGGCTCCCTCACCAACCAGCTCTCTCTACTCAACGCTTGTAACCATGCTGCCTACCCAGTAACAAGCTGCATTGTACATCCAATACAATATGTATACAGAGAGCACTTTGTGAGTTTTCTTTCTCCATCCCATCCTGAGTGTGAACCAATATCTCATAACCCCACAACAGTACAGTACTGTATTCTACTAGAGTTTTAGTGTAAGATATGAAGTAATCTTACCAATATGGACAACTGAAGATAATGGACATATTCTATATGTCCTATTATGGAGAGGAAAAGTAAATCACTGTCAAACTTAAGAACACTTGCAAAAACAATCTGTGATTTTACTGAAACTCAGTGAAAACTCAAAAAATCCTGTGAGTTATTAAGAGACAAAGGAAAAACTTTATGTACTTCTTGGAAGTTTGGATCGGGTGGATGCTGGGGTTCTTGCACCTGCTGGTGGGAGATGTGTGGTGGTGGACGTTCACCCTCATACAGTCCCTCCACTTCACCCAGTGGCACCTCCACCTGAAACACACACCACCTAACTCAGTGGAGGTATACTGGAGTTCGTCTTACTAGCATTAACAACCATTTACTCCATACATGGCGAGGATAGTAATTACTAACTCTACTTTATATAGTGGACCTTGTTAATTGGGTTTGCTTACAAGATAAGTAAATAAAGTACTCTACAAGAATTTTATGGTAAGGTGTGAAGTAACCTCACCAGTATGAACACTAGAGAGAAATGACATTTTCAATATGTCCAATTATGCAGACAAAATGAATTGCTGTTAAACTTATGAATACTGTACTAACAAAAGCAGGGTGTGGTTTTATTGAAACTCAGTGAAAACTCAAAGAATCCTGTGAGTTATTAAGAGGCAAAGAAAGAACTGGATGTACCTCTTGGAAGTTTCGATCAGGTGGATGCTGGGGTTCTTGCACCTGCTGGTGGGAGATGTGTGGTGGTGATGGACGTTCACCCTCATACAGTCCCTCCACTTCACCCAGCGGCACCTCCACCTGCAACACACACCACAAACTTTAGTGGAGGTGCACTGTACTGGAGTGTGTGTCCTACCATAGTTCAGGAGGAACCTACACTCACTACTGTACCTTAATGGCTGTACAAGGAGGTGGTGGAGTAAGTAGCCAACATTACTGTACTCCTACCTACGAGGAAAAAAAAAGGACCCGGGAATGCATCTGTGTATCTGAGGAGAACCTCAAGAGAAAGATAAACACAGATGAATAAAGAGAGAGATCAGGCAGTCTTACCTCCTGGAACTCTGGCTGAGGATTAACTGGTGGATGGTACAGGCCATCTATCTTATCCAGTGGCACCTCCACCTGCAACACACAACTCAGTGAAGGTATACTGGAGTTTGTCTTACCAGCATTAACAACCATTTACTACATGTTATGGTGAGGAAAACAATTATATTCCTTCCTACTTTATACACTTACTGTTGGCAAAAAATCCCAGTGGACCTTGTTAATTCGTTTCATTTACAAGTAAATATAATACAGTAGAGTACTGTATTCTACTAGAGTTTTAGTGTAAGATATGAAGTAATCTTACCAATATGAACAACTGAAGATAATGGACATATTCTATATGTCCTATTATGGAGAGGAAAAGCAAATCACTGTCAAACTTAAGAACACTTGCAAAAACAATCTGTGATTTTACTGAAACTCAGTGAAAACTCAAAAAATCCTGTGAGTTATTAAGAGACAAAGGAAAAACTTTATGTACTTCTTGGAAGTTTGGATCGGGTGGATGCTGGGGTTCCTGCACCTGCTGGTGGGAGATGTGTGGTGGTGGACGTTCACCCTCATACAGTCCCTCCACTTCACCCAGCGGCACTTCCACCTGCAACACATGCCACAAACCTCAGTGGAGGAGTACTGTACTGGAGTGTGTGTCCTACCACCACACAGAAGGAACCTTACACCATACATCTTAGTACACTTTACCCTAACTTAACCTAACCACCTACCTAATTTTTATCGACTTTTTGGCAACAAAAATGAACTTTGTTTTATCTTTGTGTAAACAAACTTTAACCCAATGTTTCTTAAACAAAATGTAACCTAACAAACTTAACCGTATTGTTCTTTTAGAGATAAACAACGTGGAGGTAGTTTTAGTGTTGATAGTTTTAGATACTTTGAGTCAATTGATTTAGAGATACATTTAACAGTGATAGATTTAAATACTTTTAGAGATAGCTTGAGTGGACTTACTTCTTCAAATTCAGATGCATCACCACCTTTTTCTTTCATGAATGAAGCCTTGAAGTTCATTCCTGCACTGAACTGGCTGAAGCGATCGGTCAACTGTATTAAATATAATTAACTTCAGTCAACAGAATTTCTGCTGAAGTTCTGAGTACATGATTGTTTATTAAAATTAATAGAAAATGTTTCTGCAGTACTGGAAGTTTGTTCAAAGTATTTTACAAGGAGTCACCTGAAGAATGAATCTATCTGAAGGAGTATAACCAATGAATAAGTCTACCTGAAGAAGGAATCTACCTGAAGGAGTCTACCTGAAGGAAACTACCTGAAGAAGGAACCTACATGAAGGAGGAGTCTACCTGAAGAAGGAATCTACCTGAAGGAAGAGTCTATCTGAAGGAGAAGTCTACCTGAAGAAGAGGTCTACCTGAAGGAGTAGTCTACTGTACCTGCTTGGTGAGGCTGAAAAGCGAGGTAGGGCCAACACGTTCATTTAACTGGGGGTCATAATGACTCTCCCTGGGTGTGTCCTCCTTTTGTAAGGGTGCCGGACCTGAGGAGCCTGTGTGAGAGAGAGAGGAAATTCAATGTCATACTACAATCTTTGGGTTAATTAATAATCAAGTATTTTTAAAAGAAAGATATTGTTGCCAGTTATCGAAGCTATTATATCCTAATTTACTCAAAATAATAAAGTAAAAGGAGAGAAAAGACCTCCCCCCCCCCCACACACTCCCTCCCTCCAAGGCATGACAGCAGATGACAGTTAACTTACCCGACATCATTATAGCTAGGGTGGCAACCGAGGCAACAAGAGCCACCCCACACACGCCCAATATCACAGACCATAGACGTCCAGGCTGCAATCGAGTACTCCTGAGGACAGACACAAGCCGAGGTACTCGATACTCCTCCTGTTACTACTATATTACATCTTTCTATCATATACTTGATATAGGACAGGTTGAGGATGTGAGAGTTATAGGTATAAGCTCAACTCGTGGTGCTGTTAAAATGATATCTGTATAGAAGACCCCAAGAGACCAGTGATACAGGGGTAGTATAGTGGTAGTTTTATATGACGTTAGTGTGTATTAAAATATATAAGGAGAAAGAGAGAAGGATAAAGAGACATAGGGAGATATAAATAATAAAAGAAAGAGAGAGGGATAAAGAGAGAGAGAGAGAGAGAGAGAGAGAGAGAGAGAGAGAGAGAGAGAGAGAGAGAGAGAGAGAGAGAGAGAGAGAGAGAGAGAGAGAGAGAGAGAGAGAGAGAGAGAGAGAGAGACAATCACCTTTGAGGCAGAGGATCTCCAAGAGGTACATCGACGAATCCTCCTCGCTCCTGTGTGACGAAGAAGAATAATACACCTGATTATACCAAGGCCAAGTGTCACATTACCTCACTGTCACCTCCCACGTAAATGATCCAAGACATCCTCTTCCACATACCAAGGGAAATTAACAATATGCCAATTTAATAAGACAACACACAACTTTGAATAGGGGCTAAATATTTGACGATGTCAGGTGTCAAAATAGTGCCAAGTATCGTAATATAATGCCATTAATACAGTGTCAAGAGTTGTTAAGTGGTGTCAATTGTATCTTCATATGGTGCCTAGTGTGTCATTCGAGAGCTATGTAAAGTGCATCATTAGTGCCTCGTATCTGCTTCAGTTGTGCAAATTCTAAGTACATCATTGGAGTGCCAAAGTGTGCCATTAGATAGTGCCAAGTATATCATTTGATGGTTATAACTAGTGTGCCAGTAAAAGATCAAGGTATGTCTCCTCTTCACTACATATATAAGGGGCAAGAGATAGAGGAGTGATCATTTGTCAGTCTTTCTCTTCTTCAACATGATATCTCTTTCAACACTCAAGAGATAAGACACAACACTGCATTGATAGTAAGGTCTTGTCATCATAAAACTGTCAGTCACAAGTTAATTTTTTCGGTATGTTGTTAACAATAATAATAATAATAATAATAATAATAATAATAATAATAATAATAATAATCTAATCCAAACCAAACCAGACCTACCTAACCCAATCATTCAAACTGAGTTCATTTTGAATTGGAACCCATTAAAACTGGGGTTTGTTAGGCTTGGGATTCAATAAGCTTCAGATCCATAATGAATGAAACCTATTAGGACTGGGGTCGGTTTAAACCTTTAATGATAATAACCACTAACCTTAAGCTCTACGTCTCGTCTCTGTGAGGTCATGATGTCAACTGACCACACTGAGTAAACTGACCAATACATCCACACAGATAACACACTGATAGCTCCTAGATATCTAACCTCCTCTCAAGATAACCAATACAGTGAAACTTCTACTTAGCGGACTATATGGAGAGGAAAGTCTGTTATATTGAGGGTCCATTAGATGTGAAACTCCATATAATGAACCGCATGGAGATAAAAGTCCATTATATCAAGGGTCCGTTAAATGCGATCCCCCATCTATTTAAATGATTACATAAAGAGAGAAGTCCGTTATATGGAGGTTTCACTGTACTTATCTCTGGTGGAGAAATTCTACTATATTTGGGTGACCTGGAAATAATCTCTCAACTCCAGCTTGTGATTACAGTTGCTTCAAGGCGAAAACTTGAACCACGTGAAAATTACGCATCCCAAATTATTTCACCTGATGATTAAACATCTTTACATTAACCTAACGTGACGTGACTTAACCTAACCTAAAATAATGTAACATAACCTAATCTAGGGTAATGATTATTGTTTAGTATAATAATAATAATAATAATAATAATAATAATAATAATAATAATAATAATAATAATAATAATAATAATAATAATAAATAATCATGTTTCAACAACAATAACAAAAATAATAATACCTAACAACCTCGAGTTACACCATTATCAACAGACACAAATCAACAAGATCATTACCGATACCTAGACTATTACGACACTATTATCACCACAACCTTCAACGTCAACATACTTCATGGAACACTTTTTCCCAAGACTCAATTTACAGTACCATAAAAGTAAGAAGGTTTCATTACTTAGAAGGGAAGCTCCATTTATTTCCGTATGAGGCTTCATTTATTTCCGTAAGGCTCCATCGGGTGGGCTTCATATCTCATCGACCTCTAACGGGCAGTACTACAGGGACACCAACCGGTATATCTTGAGAATGCATGACTATCCACCAGGAACAGTGTGTAGCAAGCCTTTGGGTATGAGAGGCACTGCACTCGACTGCCTCAATTTCCCCCAGCTGTAAAGTAAGGTGCACATTTACTTCTAATTGGACTAGGAGTACTGTACCCTCAGATCGACCCATTGACCTTATAGGATACGGGGTGAGTACAGTACCTACTCAGCCTCTTATATCTGTAATGTTTGAGTTTAAGAGCAAGCTGGATATCTCTTTTTAACTTTCTGTCTCGAAAGGGTAAATTTAAAGCTTATGATACGAAAGTTTAGAAATCATGAGAGAGAGAGAGAGAGAGAGAGAGAGAGAGAGAGAGAGAATAAACTCCCCTAACTGACTGTAGTGACGAGGACAAACTCCACAAATAGAGAGAGAGAGAGAGAGAGAGAGAGATAAACTCCCCTAACTGACTGTAGTGACGAGGACAAACTCCACAAATATAGAGAGAGAGAGAGAGAGAGAGAGAGAGAGAGAGAGAGAGAGAGAGAGAGAGAGAGAGAATAAACTCCCCTAACTGACTGTAGTGACGAGGACAAACTCCACAAATAGAGAGAGAGAGAGAGAGAGAGAGAGAGAGAGAGAGAGAGAGAGAGAATAAACTCCCCTAACTGACTGTAGTGACAAGGACAAACTCCACAAATATAATTATCACCAAAAGAATTGAGTAAATATAATAGATTCTTGTTATTGATAAAAAAAAAACACGAAAATTTACCGAAAAAATACAGACCGTAATTTAGTAGCTGGCATACGTGGTTCATACACCAACGAGTTCCATCCTCGGCCCTCCTTTGTGCTCTTGCCAATTTGATATTCAGTTCACGTAACACATCCCGGCAGCTCAGTCATGGAGTTGCTGTGGGAGAAGAAGCATTGTACCACTTCATGGGACAACTGCTCAAGTGCTTAGTATTATTTCCAAGACGTTTTTAGGCCTTAAAATGGACCAATTCTGCGAGAAGTGTACCTGAAAACGTTTATTAGTGTATTGAAGATGTATTTAACTTTAGTGAATAAATTTCGACTTGGGTTGTGTACGAGTGTATATCCTGCGATGTTCTGTGATATGACCTTAGTCATAATATAATATAATGTACAATACTCTTAAAAATACATCAATATAACCACTTGTACGATACTATACATTCACGTTCATATTAGATGTATAATAATGACATAAAAATATAACTAAATACAAGATAAACTCCTAAGATATACCACACACGTCTTCTGGATTCAAGATGGGACACTTCAAACTTTCTCGAGTCGTCATAATAACTTCCACACTGTTGTTCTGCTCGTGTTTCTTCCTTGTCCTGCAATCTGCCAACCACCACGGCGATAATTTAATGCGAAAACCCCAAATCGTCTTAAATTCGCTATATAATTTGTCGTATGGCATCGTGCAGCGGGAAGACAGGACCCAGCTATCAATTTCCAATCTGAAAGAAAACATGAAAAAAGGAACAAGTTCTCGTTTGGATCATGCATTGAAGGAAGATAAGAAAGACGTAACTTGGACTGAAAGAATGAAAGAAAAACTGAAAAATGACCAGAAAATAGGATCTGCTGGCAGTGAATCCCACACCAAGGAGTCCTGGACACCCAAGACCAACCTACTGCCTCCCGGAGTGACTTGGCAGGAATTCAGGACCTTCTTTCAACAGCAGGTAAGGGCAATTGTTCAGAGCGATGGTCCCGCCTCCCAGAGATTCTCATATGAATTTTGACCCCAAACTGATACTAAGTAAAGGTATTTAGTTCAAGTCTGTAACTGTACCTTAAAGTTCTGTAACCGTAATTGTACCCGTAACCGTATAAACATTACGGCCTGCATGACCCCACTGTCCATGATCTAAATTACAATTCAAACAACATTACAGTACATACTAAGTGTAAACGAATTCGATTATATTTGCAAATAACACTCCTATGATGTATTCGTTAGTTTATAGGATATAATGATTTGAGGATAAAAGGAAAAAAAATAAAAAGTAATTGTTGTGGTGGAGGTGTAAGACAACTCTTACCCACGGTCACACGCGAGGTATAGTGGATTCATCAAACGTGAATGGGTTCAATGGACTGCTTACAATGGTTGTTCGGACCCGGGAGGTGACGGCCAACACATCCAGCAAGCCAAGCCAAACCGAACCTATGCTAATCTTGTAATGGTCATGATAAGAGCTAACCTGAAAACCTTAAGGATTCATATTACGCTCAAACGTCCATAAAACCTTCTGAGTCCCCCAGTGGAAACGTCCCCCGTTTTCTCTGTTTCCCCCGCCTTTGTCTATGGGAGCAGACGCTGTATGCTGGGACCTGTTGCCATCCATTCCTTTGTAATCAATTTAATTCTGCTTTCGATAGCTGAGTCAGAGCATTGTTAGTGAAGATAATAGTAGAGAATGAAAATGAGTTCATAGTCTCAATTTCAACGTCAGAGGGTACCGTAAATTAATTCATTGGAATAGGAGTAGCTGGACTCCCTGGTCTGGTTTGAGTGAGGGCACGCGGGCATTTTAACCGTTAGTAAGTGCCCGTCCCTTCATCCATACAGGTATGCCATTCCACGCTGTGTTGTAATTTGCCCTTCTTTAAGTGATTTGACCCAATTGATAGTTGATTGTGCAAGTGTTACAGTAACGTAGTTGATATGCTCTGAGTAAAGTCATATTTACGTCTTTAACGTCCCCTGAAACGTGTTGTTGTTGTCACCGGTTAGTAAGTGCCCGTCCCTTCATCCATACAGGTCCCTAACGCAGCCTAGGCCGTGTCTGTAGGGTGGATGTTGTATCCACTATGTCTGGGGACATGTCCGAGGTCCAGTAGGATCAGTTACCTTCGTGAGACCCGGCCGTCAGACACTTCAGACCACCTATAGCCCCCATAGCTGGCTCGTCTGGCCCTAACGCTCGGTCCACGAGGTGACCCTGGACCACCAAGCCACACACCACTACCAGCCCCCATCATTGGTGGATGAATGTCTACCTCAGTAGGGCTATATTTGTGTGGTGGAATTAACCCACTGGGATCTCCAGAGTTCGTCGGATAGTACTCCATGGTGGCTGGACCCCATGGCTGTTGCTTGAGTATCACTCCTGACGACTGAGTGTTGTAGTGGCAGTTGCTCTAATATGTATGGTGCTAAGTGACTATCCTAGTTGTGCTATTGAGTATGTCCACCCAGTAGGGTTGGAAGTGTATTGATTATGTCCACCCAGTAATGGTGTGAGTATGTTGTGCCTGAGGGCCTAGTACGAGATTTCGTCTGTTAGTACAAACCAATTCTTTCTTCTAATTTCATATTCATGTTTAAATAAACTTTCTATTTGTATAATTGTGTATATTATTTACCTACAGTATTTACCGTTATTTCTTCCCTATTGCTTGATACTATCATTACACCTACCCACGAGCCTCCTATCGTCACGCTACCAATGGTGATATATAAGAGTAAAAGGAATTGTTACTGGCACAGGCCCTCATGAAGGGTGGCAGTAGCAGCCCTCATAAATGGTGGCAGCTCAAGCCCTCATAAATGGTGGCAGCTCAAGCCCTCATAATCTAACCTATTCTAACCTATCCTAGCCTAACCAAAGCTACTTCCGCAAATAATGATATGAGGTGCTCCTTCGTCAGGGTGAAGATGGGGTCAAGTCGAGAATGAGGGTGAAGGAGGTGTGTGAGCTGTACCAGGAAGGCGTCTTGGATGACCCTCCCAATGCCGCCTCTTACAGTAGAATCTACCAACACCTTCTTCACCATCCAAGATATCGACTCGTTTATTGTCCAGTGTGGAAGGTAAGATAATCTCTCTCTCTCTCTCTCTCTCTCTCTCTCTCTCTCTCTCTCTCTCTCTCTCTCTCAAAGGGAACAACAAAGGAAACAATGTACTGAGGGTCACATAGCGGGACGCGGTGGGGTGAATGGTCCATTTCTCTATTAAGATGACGATTTATTTTATACCATAGGAGGACCTTCCATGTATCCCATTGCAGACGTATGACTTCATATTGTATTCTATTGTGATGTAAATGAATAATGACATAATCCACCCACACACACACACACAGACTCCTATTGACGTTCCGCTCACATTTTTAGTCTATGTCCACCTCCTGGGACGAATACTTCCTGCAGATGGACCAAGAGGAGGAAGACACAACCACCAACGAAGTAAACACCTCCAGCGAACACCAGACCAGCGACCGTCTCTCAAAACATAACGAGATGAGCGGCAGCGTGAAGCGAGAGGTGGGTGTGGGGACGTCTCTATCAAGCACAATATTAATGATACAAACACTACTTTATCCTTCCTCACCAATGTTTTAAAGCACCCGAAGTTCAGGTTATTTTGAGTATAATTATTGCATGGAAACGGGGTCTGATTTTGCGGGTTGGTTAGGTTACTTTAAGCTTAGGCTAAGTTAGGTTACAGGTGGGTTCGATAAGGTTGATTCAACTTAGGTTTGGGTATGGGTTAGATTACATAAAGTTGGGTTAAATTATATTAAGTTGGATAAGCAGTGGGTTAGATAAGGTTAATTGAGAGATGAGTTGGGTTAAGTAACATTATGGTTAGGTTAAATCAGGTTACGTCAGGAGGTTAGATTAGCTTAATTTATATTAGTAAAAGTTAGGGGATGTTAGAGAATAGGCTAGATTAAGTCAGGAAGAGTTAGATTACATTAGATTAAACCCCGAATTCGATCATTTTTGAGGAAGGTTTCAATTTTCACATCCTTACGTATCCCTGACAGGCCAGAGGTCGGTTCCAGTTACCACTGAAGAAAAAGCGTGCTAGGGGCGTGATCAGAGACTCCCGGTGTGTTGTGATGATCGTCAGGCACCCGCTTCAGAGACTCGTTTCAGCCTATAGGGACAAGATGATGGCTCGCAACTCCACCGTCAGGGACTACCTTTACCTGAGGACCATTATTAAACACAGGTGAGAGACGAGAGGTTGGAATGTTTACCTGTGTGTGTGTGTGTGTGTGTGTGTGTGTGTGGTCTAAATACAAAAGTTATATCTTGGAATTTAATATTAAAACCTCTTGAATATTTAAGTAGAATAAAACACGTTGGATCGGTTTACCTGCCAAGCCATTAACAGGTATAGTAATTAAAATACCTGGATAATAACTTTGATTTCCTTTATATATACAACGTTGAATATCTAAACTTCTCCTTTAATTAATATAGAGCAAAATTATTAATATGCCTTCGTGTATAGAGTAATAATTAAATATATGTAAAACAATAACTGGACAAAATGTTAGCGACTTGATCGAAAAATAAAATGGTGACCGACTGGTAATCCAAAACTAAGTAAAATGCGAGCAATTTCTGATACCTAAACAATCGTCCTCTGACGCAGGTATCGCAGCATCACGAACAGCAACAACGCCGCCAGCACCACCACCACCTCACCGTCTTTCTCAGAGTTCGTGGACTTTGTGCTGGACGAGTGGCGGTCCTCTGATCCCAGACCTGCCACCTGGCGGGAGTGGTCGAGGGACTGGCACCCTATATACTACCTGTGTCATCCTTGCTTAATTAATTATACTCATATACTCAGGTGTGTATAAAATAAATATATATAATATTTAAAGTATCTGGTAGGTAGTTTTTCTTGCCTATATCCAGTGAAACCTCTATTTAACGGACTATATTGAGAGGAAAGTCCGTTATAAAGAAGGTCCGTTAGATGTGAAACTTCAATCTAATGGCTTATGTGGAGAGGAAAGTCAGTTATATGGAGATTTCACTGCACGATTTAAACCAATACAGAGGTGCCACATCTCGCAAAACGCCCCAGTCAATGTACCAGGCATAAATGGAGGCGACTGTGTAGAAGTGTAGAACCAATATAAAAATAAATAAATAACCAGGATTGATTATCACCTAAAACCTAACCACCTTCTTCCCTCACAGATACGAGACCTACAACATGGATCTGAAGGAGTTCCGTCAGCAGTGCAAGTTAGAGGGGGTGAGGCTGGAGGGCACACATCACCACCAACTAGGGAACACGTCCTCCTCACAGGTGGAACAGGACCTCTACGGCCAGCTGACTCACTCCCAGATCTTACAACTCGCCCAGGTCTACTTCATCGACTTGGTCATGTTTGGCTACAACGTGACTAAGTACCTCCAGTTCGCCAGACCAGATTGAAAGGCGATAAACACGGTGTTATTCTTACACCTTTGATAGACCAGATTATAAGTGTCTTATACGCTCCACTTCATTAGACTGATTACAAATAGACTTAAAGGTGGCGAATGGGACGCCACTTTTAGTTATAACTTGGCTAGTTCTCTCCACTTTGCCATAACTACCATAAT